GCCTCCATACGGTCAGGCACTGCGGGGACATTTGGAGTCAGAGTTTCTCATGGTAATGTTGAAGTTTGGCTGCTTCCCTGTATTTAGTATGCTTAAAGCAGAGCATTTTTTATAATTCCCAAGACTGAGCTGAGTTGGCTTTTGCTCTGCTACTTGTCTCTGGGTCATCCACCTCATTCAAGCTCTTCCCAATAAATTTAGTAGATCCCTTTTCATATGCAGGGGTTGCACCAAGCAGTGGAGATGCAGCAGCTCCCATCTGCTGCAAGATGAGCTGCCGAATGGCAACCCCACCTGCCGATGGACCTGACAGATGACAATTTTTATATGTCTTCTCTTGCCATCTTATACTCCTATCTAAGTGTTAGGCAGCCAGCATTATGTCTTTCATTAAAACAGGCTATATGCCATAGATGTCAGATAAATTTTACAGTGTGGAGTAATTTGATTTTCTAACTGCTTTTGACTTTATTGTAAGCATGGCATGCTAGAAGATGAGCTATTGTTGCATTACTATGAATATATGTTACCTTCTCTTTCTGTATGTTCTTGCATGAGTATCTCATACTGTTAGATCATTTAACAAAGAATATCAGGTAAGAAAGCTAGATAAAGTAGAAACTAAAGGCAATTAAAAATGCATTTGCTGCGTAAAAGTGAGAACTGTGCCTAGCCAAAATGCAGACATGTGCTTTCTACCTTAATCAGATTCATGGCAAGTAAAATGAAGCTTTTTGGTGGAAATGTCACTTGGCCAGAGTAAGGATGAATGAACCAAAGAGATATCAGAGTCTGACAGTTTTAGCCCTGAATTTCTTAATATAAGACCAATCAGTTCTTTCTCAAACACTGTGTTAGACTTCTGCCTATCACCTGGATCCTGGAATAACTTCAAGGCAGTGCTGCCCACTGCTTGCAGATGGGAAACAGGAAAGTCATCATGTATACTGAAAACAATCCAGCCCTTTGAACTTGCAGCTTTTCTACCTTCTACAAATTTCTTACAGGAACACAAATATGCTCTCAGTTTGGTTTGGGCCTGATCAGGACTGGAATTTGGGGGATGAGGAGAAGGAAGGAAAAAATGCAATTATACCTCTTGATTTGATGTTAAACCAGTGACATTTTAAAGGCAACCAGGCTGGCAGTTGCCAGCCTGTTCACTCCGAGGCAGAAGCTCCACAGTGAAGGTCACTGTGCTGGAAGAAATGTGAACATTTTAGCATCTCTCTCTCTTGCTTTTTTTGGTTTCTTTACATCCATTATTCGCTTCTGCCCCTCACCTATTTTCTAAAGATAATGCAGTTTTCAGAAGCCAGTCAGCATGTCATCAGTATATTCAGGTTCCTGGGAGGCACCCTGAGCCCCAGAGTTTGCCTGAACACTGCCTGTGGCAGCACTGCTTGCTCCACCACAGGAGCCGAGGGCCAGGACTGCCCTCCGCGTTCACAGGAGTCATTTCCAAAAGCATTTACTTTCTATTAGTAGGAGCAAAACCAGCCCCTGTGCCTATGAAAATATGTCAGCCTAATGAGAAAAACGAGGGAAAAAACCTGACAAAAATCTAAGAATAGGGTGTTGAACAAGACTTAATTCTGCCAGAGGATTTAGGGCAGGGATGAACGTTGCTTAAATATGGTGGGAATACTGCATCACATCAAGTATGTTACAGCGCTTTTACACCAGCTCAGAGTAAATGTCTCATCACATATGCTTTGTGTGTGTAAAATTGGATATTTTTGCAGCTTTCTCCTTTTCAAAGGTGACCTGCACTGTTTTAATTTCAGAATGGATTAACTCCAAACAGCAGGGCGTGAATTAAAGGCTCCTCAAGCAGCCATTAGAAAGTATTTTGGTTATTCAAATAATGGAGTTGCTAGTCATTTAAAAAAATTACAGGAAGAAATGTTCTTAAATGTCATCAGCTACACAGTGCTGGAGTCACTTAGGGGATTTCATGAGTTGCTATAAAACATGGTCCAGCAACAGCAAAAGCAGTCTGCCATTACCAGTCCTGTGAGTCTCGGTGTCTGCTTAAAGCGCCAGATACTCCTCCGCTGCCCAGCACCATCACCCCTGAGGTCAGCGATGCTCCTGCATTTCCTATCAAAGGCAGATTCAGGCTAATGGTGGAATATGAGAACGAGACTAAAATAACAAAGACAACTGTCCCTTCAGGAGGGATTCTGCTGATTTCTTCCAGTGGTCCCTTCAGACTCCTTCTGGCTTCCCTGGAAAAGTGCTCAGGAGCCAGGAAAGGGACTTCAGAGCTTCTCCCTGCCACCATCTCCTCGGGGATGGCTTAGGGATGAAGTCGCGTGGATAAAGTGACAGAGAGTCCAGAACAAATGCTCCTGTGTTTTGGCTTATGCTACAGCAGAGACAATCTTCTCTAGTAAAATCTGATTTGGAAGTGGAAAGCTATGGAAATGCCATAGGATTTCTCCATAAAAACAACAAAATTCAGTTTTCCTAGGTGTAGAATATTGTTACCTATCTGCCACGCAGCTTAATGTAATATCTGAGTGACAGTTACAGCAAAAAAATACGGTCTTCAGTGAAACACAGCCTCTACTTTAAGCCCCTGAATAGTTTCCCTGATTTCACTGAGGACTGCTGGTGTGGGTGATCCTGCAGAATCAGCAACTGCAAAGGGAGCTTCTTCCTGTGACACTCCTGCCGTTCATGACCTCTTTGGGGTATGAGTGCAGGCAGGTGATAGCTTCTGCGCTGCAGAAGTCCCTTTTGCTGGCAGGACTGAATCAATAAATGACTTCAGATGTTGTTATAATCCTAAGAGCAAAATGATTTGCACAGAGTACTTGCTGGAGTACAATAGTCCCCCATTACAATTTTAGGAGAAGAGGAGAACATAAAAAGAGTCTTGTTATTACTGTAACTTAAGACTGAAAAACACACTTGTGTTCCTAATTCCTTACTTTAATTGAATACAAAGATATCAGCGCTTCAGTGTTCAGCTACTACATATAAAATCAAATTTGGTGGGTAGTAAATACAGTAGAACTGAAGGTTTAATGCAATAAATCGAGGGACACATTCAAGATAAAACTGTCGTCACTTCAGCAACACTATTACTACAATAACAACCTTAGATTTATTAAAATAGAACTGTTTAAATGCATTTACCTCTCCTTTTCATTTTTATTACTTATTTTTTATATCCAAGAGACAAAACTCACTTAACATGAACTGAGTATTTTTACATTCCAAGCCTTTATAAATTTTCACAATGCTGCAATTTCAGAAGAAATTTTTAAACATCAATTTTAATAAAAACTGAAGTAAAAGTTTTTCAGATATGATCTGTCACTAGTAATTTAAAAAAATACTTCTGTTTTGATTCTGTTTATTCATTATTTTTTTAATCAATCCCAGTGCAGAGGACACAAAGTTGTGGATTTGCCTCACGAGCGGAGGACCCAGCTGGCCCATTCTTGGGATTTGACTGGAAGACTCCTGCTGCTGAGCGGCGTGGCTGCTGACTTACTTCCTCAGGTATATCTGTCATGATTGCCTTTCCCTGCCTTCAAGGTGCCTGGTAGGTGAAGCACCATGCGGGGACTCTGGCAAGGTGGTCATAAAAGTCACTGCAGTGCTACGTGGCTTAAGGCCATGTGCGAAAAGAAATAATGATGCTTACTTACTGCGTGAAGCACATTGAGCTTTTGGGTGGAAAAGCAAACCGTTAAGTGATTATTAGACTGTTTGATTAAATGCCGTTTAATAGTTATTACAAGAAAAGCTTTTATGATTGGCTGACTTCACCTGCCCAGGGAACCGGGCTCTGCCTGCTGGCTGGATTTAGGCTCCCAGGAAAGACTACGGAGGAAGGCACAGAGTTGCTCTTCAGGCAAGTTGTCACAGAGCTGCCAGAGGACTGTTGCAGGATTTAAATCATATGATCAGTAGGAGTGGCTGAAAATGCTCTGAAGAAAGAATTTTCCAACATGAAATACTGATTTGATGGAATTTCAGTATTAGTCATTTCAGTATTAGGAATTTTACTTAAACTTCCTGGTGGGAACCATGTGGGTGGGTTTTCTCAGCAGCTGGCAGGGCCCAAGCCTTCAGCTCCAGCAGTGTGGCCAGGCAGGGAGTTACCTGGGAAGTTACGTACAGCACCCATTTAAAAATGGTTCTGATTTAGTTATTCAAAAAGTGAATGTTTCTAAATAATTTGTACCATACAAATCTTCATATATCCAGCTTTGTGTTCTGGTACAGAATGAAACCATTAAAAATATAAAGGAAATTTTCTGCAGATCATAAAATACACTTTCCATGCCAGCCCAGTGGCTGAATAAAATGGGGACTTTTAATGGAATTTCAGGGGAATAAAAAGCAAAGTTTTTAGAAAGGCACCTCAAATTTATTAAAATACAGCTCCCTCACTTTACTTACTGCAAAAATCAAATTCTGCTTGTGACTGTAACTCACTGCAGTGACTTTACAGACTTGACTTTTGCATGCTTCTGTTTTTTTAACTGGGATATTTACCTGAGAAGCTGCTGATCCCCAGAAACATTTTCTTTGTATGCTACTGTATTCTAGATCAATAGTGGTCGGGGGGTTTTCTTACTGTATTTTAACAAGTAATAAACACAGCGAGTTTGGAAGCCTGACAGCAACCGAACCATCAGCCCTGGCCACGCACCCCAGGAGGAGACCGGGGCTTGGATGGGGATGCCGGCAAACGCGGCCAGCCCCTGGCTCTGCACCTGTCTCTTATAC